TAAATTTGAGGAGATGCTTAAAATTATCATTGACATCAGCATTTAACTTGAGAGTAGACACTGTCTTCAGCACACTCTCTCTTCTTTCTTCCTCTTGTTTTTCTTTCAGAGAAATTCAGCGCAGCGTAGTTTAGTTCTTCATCAACGACGGTCTGGGTAGTAATTAAAAAAATGTTATCTATGTAGTATATAGATCTATTCTGACATATTTTAAGTAAATAATGATGCATTTTCATCACTTACTGGTTGGCGTGAGGCGCCAGTTTGTGCATCTGATATAGCATTTTCTTTTCCTAAGAACAAGATAAATAATAAAGACAAATACGAAATATTTTCAGAACTTAAAATTTATTGACTAATGAAGGCTACAAAAATCATTATGGAGGCCTCAGTATTGCAAGAATTATTTATGATGTGTGCAATGGTTACAGTAATTCTTTTAATGTGATTATCTATATATAATAAATACATATTTAGTATTTCCATCATTTAAGCCCATATGGAAAAGATCTTATAAAGTTTGTATCTGTCTTGTGTGAAACTTGTATGAAAAGCATACAAGAGTGAAAACAGATATAAGATCCCTTGAAAAATTATATAAATGAAACTTGTATGTTTTGGATACTTACTAAAACAATATATGAAAGTAATGAGAAAGTGGCCACTTTCATGAGTAAATCATATAAGCCTTATATGATTCACTATATGAAGTAGGCCACATCTTATGCAAGTCTTTTATAAGTTTTTACTATTTCTTTTTCATATGGGAGTATAACTGAAATACACTAAGCCTTTCAAATATTTGTAGTTTCTTACATTTCTTACCTTTAAATTGTTTACCTGCTGTTCGGTTGCACATGAGGAAAACATTTCCAATGACAGAAATGCCCAAACAAACAATTAATACTCCCAAGTGAATAAATGCTGATTTTGTGGATGACTCTGCAAAAAAACAAAGAAAATGAACTCTGAAAAAAACCCAAAACATTATCATTGCTGATATTATTGGTTGTATAACTAAAGAATTGGACAGTAATGTCAGGTATTAACACATAAAATTACTAATAATTCTGACTGGCTGTTTAAAACTGAAACTCACATTTTTTCCAATTAATTTATAAATCATAAACTTACCTTGAATAACCAGTGTAGTTCCACTTCCAAATAATATCTCCCCACATGTGGCCACAGCACAGTAGTAAGTCCCAGCATCAGAGGAGCTGACGTTCTTAGAGAAGCGATAAACACATGTCTTCTGATGGTCAGATCTTTCATCACATATATTACTTCTGTTTCTGTCAGTGTAGATGATGTTTGGAAGAGATTTATCTGATCCCTCTCTGACCCAGAGAATATTGAGACCTCCTGGACACGTCTTGTTGTCAGAGTCAGAGAAGACTGAACACTGGAGCGTCATTGTGTCTCCTGGTCGGACTGGATTTGATTCTATCAGTAACTGACTGACTGCAAAGTTTGATGTCCTCTGAGCTTTTCCTGTGTAATACAAATCACATTTTTCCAAACATGCATAGAAAAATTTTCAAAGTTTGTAAAAGTAGGTTGGCTTATTACCTTTTACTAACAAATACATCCCACCCCATGTAGTTCCAATCCATTCTGTGTTTGTACAATGATAGTGAGCCTCATCCTCTTGAACTGTCTCTAAAATGATCAGGCTGCTAAAATTTGCATCATTATTTATCCGAAATCTTGAGCTCAAAAATCCAGGACTAAAATCAGCTTTAGACTGAATCAGAGTAACTATTAATTTAAGAGTATCCCCGACACTCTGCTTGTACCATTTGACTCCTCTAACGCTGAGCTCTTTGGGAATAGCGCATGTCAAGGTTGCTGGTTCACCAAGCTGAACAGTTTCAACTGGAACCAGAGAGTCTGAAATAAGAGAAAACAGAAAAAATAAACTTTTTTTGCTGTGGTAACTTTCCATTGTAAAGCTAGTTTAGTCTGTGCAAATGTATTTGACATATAAACATTTTTAGACAACTTTTTTAAAAAGGCACTTACATCCTTTGTGAAGACAAAATAATGTAATCCATAGGACAAGCATTTTGACAGTGTTTCTTGTTGGGGACCTTACTGGTATTTTAGTGAGTGAAGGCGGTGAGATGTATTCAGATGACAAAAATGTATCTGATTGGCTGAGAGAATAGATTCAAACGTACACTTAAAGTACCTCCTCCTGCGCTTTGTAACACCATCTCTCTTTCATGTTCTATTGCAATTTTCCAGATTATTCAGTTTTTACGTTTGACTACTTTTGAACGCTGTTTATTTGATGTTTATTCTTGTTCTTGGATCTTATGTAAAAAATACCTCAAACATTTCACACTCTGCATTTCAGAGCAGGTTGGGTATTTTATAGTTCAGAGGTCATGACACCCCGAAGTGCTGAAGAGCAGGGTGAACCAATGTTTCTTGGCCTAAGGAGATGGTTTAAGCTCCTATAAAAAATAATAACCAATTGGTAATTTTTGTAGCGAATTTAATTAGCATTAATGAGATATGTCAAGAGAAGTCTCACTCGATAACCCCACGGTGGAGCTAGAGGTAAATCCAGAATGATGCTGAGCATAAGCTACATGATTTTTTAAATTAGAAAAATTAGATGTTTTCTTTGCATCAGCTGGCTTGACAAAACTATGAACCCAATAATGGGTATTATAATGAGATAATATCAACTCTTTATTGGTCAAGACAGCCTTTTTTCCTGACCTATTAAAAACATCCCATCTATTTCATGAGCTGAGATGATGAACAGGTGCAGACCAATGAAAGATTAGTCTAAAAATATATTTCAACTCATGGAGAGAAAGAGAAATATTAAAATAGTAAATATATATCAGTAAATCTCAATTTTTCACTCAGTGTATTGTCAATACCTGCTGTTCATTTTTAGGTGAGTAATTGGTCAGTAAGACAAGGAAGTGTCTTACCGAATCCCAGATTCATCCCAGATTAATACCGGATCTCCGAACCACCTCTGCTGTCTCCTTATGATGGAGAAAGGTTCTAGGATTGAGTTCTGATATGCTCTGGGAGCTCTTTTCTGCTCTCTATATCTGTGATCTAACTGTTTTAGTCATTACCCAAAATTTGTGCCAATAAATAATCCACAGAATCCAGAATCCACAGTTTTGCTTTCATGGCCAGCTCTCTATTTAGAATCAGAATCAGAATCAGATCAGAATCAGAAAGGGGTTTATTGCCAAATGTTGAGCAGGTTTACAACATTAGGAAATTGCTGCGGTGCTTCAGTGCAAACATACTGTCATAAATTACGCTTAAACAGACATGAAAAAAATAAATAAATAAAATAAAAATAAGAATAAGAATTAAAAGTGCTAGTAGAAAGATATATACATGAGTGCAGGTGGTGATCAGTGCCAAAACATGGAATGATGCAGTGAACACAGCGTAGGGTCATGTGTTAGTGGTGGGAACAGTCGTACGTTTATTGTTCATGTGTCCAACAGCAGAGGGGAAGAAACTGTTCTTATGGCGAGAGGTTCTGGTGCGAATGGACCGGAGCCTCCTGCCTGAGGGGAGCAGGTCAAACAGACTGTGTCCAGGGTGAGAAGGGTCAGCTGAGATCCGAGCTGCACGCCGCAGTGTCCTGGAGGTGTACAGGTCCTGCAGAGATGGGAGTCTGCAGCCAATCACCTTCTCAGCAGAGCGCACAACACGCTGCAGTCTCTGTTTGTCCCTGATAGTGGCTCCAGCGTACCACACGGTGATGGAGGAGGTGAGGATGGACTCGATGATTGCGGTGTAGAATTGCATCATCGTCCGTGTTGGCAGGTTGAATTTCTTCAGCTGCCTCAGGAAGTACATCCTCTGCTGGGCTTTCTTGATGACGGAGGTGATGGTGGGCTCCCACTTCAGGTCCTGGGTGATGGTGGTACCCAGGAAGCGGAATGAGTCCACAGAGGTGATGGGGGTGTCAGTCAGGATGATGGGGGGGAGTGGGGCTGTGTGCTTCCTGAAGTCCACAATAATCTCCACTGTCTTCTGGGCATTCAGCACCAGGTTGTTGTGGCTGCACCAGGACACCAGACGTTCAACCTCCCTCCTGTAGGCAGACTCATCCCCGTCCGAGATGAGTCCGATAACGGTGGTGTCATCTGCAAACTTGATTAGCTTGACGACTGGT